GAGAGAGACAGAGAGAGAGAGAGAGAGAGAGAGAGAGAGAGAGAGAGAGAGAGAGAAAGAGAGAGAGAGAGAGAGAAGCAGGTAGAAAGAAAAGCAAGCATAGCTTTGGGAAGTCACCCCAAGAAACTATAGGAGCCAAAAAAGTAACTTCCAAATATAGTGTGAGCCAAGATGAAACCTGGAACCACAAAAGGACACTAAGGGGACAGTTGGTGGAACTCCAATAAAACCTTTAGCTTGTCTGGTATCTTACAATTAATTGTTGAGTTTATGTCTGTGTGTGTGTGCGCCACATGTGTGCCTGAGCCCACAGAGGTCAGAAGAGGGCCGTGAATCTCCTAGAACTGCAGTCATAAACAGCTGGGAGCCTCTGTTGGGTGGTAGGAGCCAAACCCAGGTCCTCCACAAGCGCAGTAAGTACTCCTTACCCCTGAGCCACCTCTCCAGAGCCTACTTGATCTAGTGTTTTGTTTTATTCGGAGATAGGATCTCACACTGTAGCCGAGATTAGCCTCAAATTCAAACTATAATCCTCCTGCCCCACTTTGTTGAATGCTAAGATTATAATTGTGAGTCACAATGTCTAGCTAGTCTGTTCAGTTTAATTCAGTTAATTAATTTAAATTCATTTCAAAATTAGGAGTTCAAGGCTATCCTTAGCTATGTAGTGAATTAAAGGCCAGCTTGGGTTATACGAGACCCTGCCTCAAAAGAAACAAAAACAAAACCAGAGACAAAACTAAACAAACTCAAATGCAAACGACTGATTATTAAATGAGACAACTTTAAATCATTTAGTTAAATTAATATAGTTCTCTTGTGAAATTAGTCCCATATACTGTGATTGGTTCCCCGGTTCTGCTCCCTGTGCTGCGGATGGGGAGGATGGGAACATTCAGGAGGTGGAGGAGGAACATAAGGAGTGTGTCTGCGCACTGGGAGACAGAAAGACGCTCTGTCAGACAGAACCCCCTGTGCTTTCCATCTGGGAAGCTCTGCAGGGACCTGAGACTCTAGTATGGAGTGGAACATCCCTTACAGCAGCATTGGGGAGGAGGTGCGGCAGGGGAGAGCCCTTCCTTTCCTGAGGTATTGCCAACACCCTTCTGTCTTTCAAAATTTAGTCAGCTTCAGGAAGAGTCTGCGGCCAGCGTTCTGACACCAGTGGCCCCCCCCCCCCCCGGGGATTCTCCGATGTTCACACGCCTGAACTTTCATGAGCTCCATCACCCATTCCTTCGTGCCTTACTTCTGTCCCCAGGAGTCCTTTCTACTGGAGGTCCCCCTGCCCTGCCGGCCCCTCCCATCCATTACCCCACCCCTTGGCTTCCCACACAGGTTCTTCTCTGCTCACTTGACTTTGGGTTTCCAAACACCTCCTTGTCTCCCGGTTCTCTGAAACGGAGCATGACAGTGGGCCTTCTCTTTCTCTTTCTTTTGTTGCTCCACACAGTTCTAATTAGGGAGGAGAGATGGGCATTTAGAATTAAGCCGTGGTTTTCGGAAGGATAAGCTGGTTTTCTGATCTCCACCCACACCTCCTCTCTCCAGTTCCTCCCTGGACAGCTTGCCTGGGTTGTTTTCCCTGGATTCCGGCCTGTGAGCCGGGACCAGTCAGAGGGAAGATGCTGGCTGGAGTCTGGGGAGAAAGAGGAGAGGTGGTTTATTCCCTCAGCTGTCCCCTTCTTGTGCAGAGTTTAGAAGAGGCCATATGTTCTCTGACGATGGCTGTAGTTTCTGTCCCTTGATTCTTCCACAGCGAAGGCCCAGGAGCCAAACTCTTTAATGCCCTCTGAACCATCCAGACAGATACCAGGTGTCCTATTTCCTGACGATTTGCATCCCAGTGTCTCTTATTGTTCATCCTGTGCACGGTCCCTTTCCGAGAGCATACATGTCAATGTGCTCTCTGCCTTGCACCAGGAGTCTACCTGGTACCCCGTTTATGTGTAGGATGACATAACGCTGGGCATAGCTTCCTTTGGCGATCCACAAGCCAGGTCTCTGAGAGTCTGGATGCCTAAGGCTCCACACTGGCCAGGAAGGCTCAGCATGTGCAAAATTTATGGGTACAGAAATATCTGCTACAAACTCAGATCGGGCCAAAGTGTGAGGAAGCAGAGGCAGGATGGACCACCATTCTTTGGATGTTTGTGTCAGTCAGACATGAGGCAGCCTAGGTGTTTAGCCACCCAACGTAAACAACTTTAAATAGAGCATTGGTCTTTGCTAAGTTGGCGACCGGCCTTTGAAAAATCAGCTTTTCTCGACTCGATGATTCAGTCAGCAAGTCCTTTGCCAAACTGGGTTGCTGAGCAAATTCTCCTAGGAGAATTAGTTTGCTCCTGTCGAAGCCAGATTCTCCCTGCCCTAGGAAGGCTAGACCTGACCTGCTGGTTCAGGGAAGGTTGGCTTGGGTGCCTGTGTTCAAGGGCTGCTCCCCTGGATGGGGAAACGGAGGGCAGCCTTCACCTGAGTCATCTTCAGCCTCATGTAGACAGGTAAAGCTGCCCAACCACAATGGCCAGGATCCATCTATTGTTAGAAGAACCTTTGGCGAGAAAGGGGGTCCTGTCCCAGGCATCTAGAGGAGTACAGAAGACCTATTGGGACACTCGGTGGCTTGGGAGCACAGGGAACGGGTCGCAACTGGATCTGAGTGACCAGTGAGACTGGACCTGGGCCAGAGCCAAAGGGCCAGGGAGCTAAGTCCATCTCCGGGCCGTTCGGCCACTCCTGGTCCCTCTACCTTTCCTGGCCAGGCATTTGGGGTGTGTGTCTGGGCAAAGAGCAGTAGTGTGAGTATTCACCCGGAGACAGTGTCCTAAAGAGGGCAGGGTCTCTGGGAAGTGGTGCCTGACGGGGGCGGGGGTCATCATTGTCCTGGGCTGTGTGGGCTGATGGGGCGGGAAGAGGGAGGGACAATATCCCGGATTGTGTGGGCTGACCGGGGGGGGGGCCCCACCACTATCCGGGCCGGTGCGGCCTGAGGGGGGGGTGTCACAGTATCATCCTGTGTTGTGTAGGCTGACTCTTGACAGGGGTCTGTTGGGGCTGGGGAACTTCAGAGAGGAGAACCATGCTGAGACCTAAGCTGGGGATCTATAGGGAAAGGTCTGGAAGTTGTTCTGAAACTAGTAGGGGAAGAGCAAGAGAGGACCCTTGTGAGAGTAGAGGTCACATGCACCCTCAATGGAAAAAGGGCCTTTGGTGGGTCCAAAAGTATCTCCGTATATTTTGAAGTCCCAGCACCACCAGCTGTACACTCCTTCCCCAAGCTAATGCCCCAAGTGGAACCCTCTAGAACTTTGCCTTAAGTGGGGAAGGATAGGGTGGGCTGAACCTTCTTCAGTTCCAGGGACCCCACTTTCATGGTCCTTTCCCCACCTGTGGGGGGGTTCTATACATACAGTACATACATACGTACATACATACATTCGCTTATATAACTAGCAAGGATCTTTGTTCTTTTTCTTTCTTTTAAAAAGTCTTTGTGTGTGTGCACACTGTGTGTGTGAATGCGGGCATGTGTGTGCCGTGACACCCATGTAGGTCAGAGGACAGCTGAGGGCATCAGCCCTCACCTTCCATCTTATTTGAGACAAGCCTCTCTTTGATTTTTCCCACAGTGCACACCTGGCTAGCTGGCCTACAAGCATCTTGGAAGCCTCCTGTGTTTGTCCTATTTTCCTGTACCAGTTCAGGATTATGGATGTTCCTGCTTTATGTGGGTCCTAGGGATTTGAACTCAGGTCTTCTCACGTGGTAGGCGCTCTACCCTCTGAGTCATTTCCCCACCCTTCCTGTTCCTAAAATGGGCTACTCCAAATTAAGTGTCTGTCCACTCCTGCCCTAAAGAGACAGCAGTAACGTGTGGGGCTTGGTCATTTGACCGGAGGTCCTGTTGCCCACTGCGCTCTTTAACTGCCCTAACCACAGCCCAGGGCCTGCCGACACTATACAGGAATGTAAAAGGACCTCAGCTCTGAAGGGCATGGGCTCTGAGGGCCCTTGATCAGGTAAACACTAATTATGTTCTGTCACACCCAGCAGGACGGCCTTGAGGGAGTGAGAGAGGCTTCCCAGGGAGGAGGCCCCAGCTTCCTGACCCAGGTCTAGCCCATGCGAGTGGGAACATGGCAAGACCTTCTGCCCCTGTCCCTAGGCCAATGGAGTCCATCTCCTTAGCTCTCTAGCTCCACGGGGTCTCCCACCCCAGTGCACCATAGCCCACAGCTGTAGTGAGTAGGGCCTATGGCCAAGAGGAACTTCCCCAGCATATCCATGATGATCAGGAGCGACCAGGTATTTGTAAGAGCTTGCATGCTTTGTCCCACTGACTAGCAGTGACACAGCCAGGAAGGCATAGCTGTCCCATTTAATAGATGAGGAAACCGAGGCTTTACTTAGGCTAGTGATTAAGGGAGGCAACGTGTGGTATGTGGCTTAAGGAATCTCTGCCTACCCTGAGTAATGAGGGAGGAAGCCTGACCCCTCTGCATGAGACATATCAGGAAGCTATGGAGCTGCTCCTCGGGGTTATTCGAGTGAGACAGCTTCCCAAGCAGTGATGGTGTCTTCGGCCTACATGCCTAGGATGTGGGGAATTAAGTGGCAACTCTTACACTTATAGAATGTCCTTAGAAGCTGAACTCCAAAGTACAAAGTGGCCAGGACTCTCCCACGGGCTGGCTGCCCCCGTCACTCAGCCAGGGCCTAGGCTGACTGAAAATCAGCTGACCGAGCCAGGATGACTTTGCACCTGCCCAGTGCCGTGTCCTCCAGAGGATGAGGCCACACTCTGAGCATCCTGTCAGGTGGAGACCATGAGGCCATTCAGCTGGGCCATGGTTCCTTGCAGTGGGAAAGGCAGTAGGACCTTGGCTCTAGGCTCTAGGCTCTGAAGGCCTGACCAGGCCACTGCGGGGACCCTGGCAGGTAGGCTGGAGGCCTTGCCATCAGGCAACAGGTCTGAGCTCAGGTTAGGGAGCTCAGGCCCTAGCCAGGGTCTGGCAGAACAACAGTTCCTAAGTGCTGCCATGTTAACTCACAGATGTCAACTCACAGAGCGCTCAAGGCGCCTGCCATGGGACAAGACACATCCAGAGTGACTTCTCTGGTTCTGCCTTGTCCCGGCTTCTCGAGGCTCTTAGTAGAGGAAATAGGGGGGCTCATTGGGATGAGGTAGTGCACAGTACTGGGGTAGCCCCACCCAGGCCCTGAACTGACTCACCTGCTCCTATTGGCTGGGTAAGGGCTTGGTGCCCTGGAGCCTGGCAAGCTGTCACAGGCATGTATAAAAGCATGCTAATCCAGCCTGTGGCACCGTATCTGTCACTGTCTGCGGCTGGACGATGCTGGGAGGCCTGGGGAAGCTGGCGGCTGAGGGCTTGGCCCACCGCACTGAGAAAGCCACTGAGGGAGCAGGTAAGGGGCTGGGGCTTTCTAGCTGCCCGGAAGGTGAGGGCAGACTTCTCTGGGTCTGTTGAAAGCAGGCAAGAACCTTGGGGTAGACTGAGGCTGAGGCCCATCAGGGAGCTTGGCTCACTGGCTCCACCAGGAGATAACAGAGTTGGGGGCACAAAGGCTGGGGTAATTTTTCAGTCGAGAGCCCCTGGCCAAGCAGCTTCCTTACTAGGGACTTGCTCCATGACCTAGGCTGAGCCTGCCTGGAGGTCAGGATGAGGCCAGCCCTGCGGAGGCTCCTGGAGGCAGGCAGAATCCAGATACTGGTGGTTTAGGTCCTTCTGCCTGGAAGCCAAGAGTACCTTCTGTTATCATTGCTTATTCTAGAGCCTGAGGGTGTAGCTCAGTGACAGAACATTTGTCTGTACAAGGCCCTGGATTTTTGCAAGAACTATAAAACAAAATGAAACAAAAATCCTGCCTATTTGATTTGTCGACCCAGAGAAAAAGGAAGGCGGGTTTTGATTTTCACCACACTTCATAGGCTCTGTTATTATGAAACATGGAGTCTGGTCCTGCTCAAAGTCTAAAAGGACATTTCTTCCAAGAACTTAGGATATGGTTCTGTGGCAGCTCACGAGTCCCTCTGGGGGACACAATAAACCTGTGTCAAGTTTGCTGTTCTTTTTGGAAATGGCTGTAGACAGAGCAGCATGTACTTCATTTTAAACTCCACGGCTCCACATCCGACCTCCTCTTAATCTTCCAGCCATCTGAGCTGTGAGGGACATGGCAGCGGAAGGTAGTGTTAGGAACAGTTCTGTCTCTCAAGTCTTTGGGTTCTAACATGCTCCTACCCAAACTCTCCAGAACCCGGAGTTGGGTACAGACTACCTCTTCCAGGAAGCGTTGCCCAGAGGAGCTTAACTTCTCTGCAGAGATACAGATGAGGCTGAAGCAGGCCGGTCAAGCTCGTCCCGACAGGTGTGGCGGACTGACAGCCGTCCCACCTCAAGACAAGGCAGAGGCTGTTCTTGGTTATCCACGCCCATCCAGGCAGAGAGGGGCAGGGAGCGCCCTGTGCATGTCCAGCAGTCAGGCATCTTGGGGGGTGGTTCTACGAAGGGAGGCAGCTAAGGGTTTTCGGGAGGCAGCTAGGGGTTTTCCTAAGCCGTCTCCCCTGACTAGGGGCAGCATCGCAGAGTCTCTCCACGTTGTCAAGAAGCATCGTGGGCCATTGTGAGGGGAAGTGGGCATACACACACCTTATTGTCCAGAAGCATCTTGGACTACTGTGAGGGGAAGTGGGCTTACACACACCCTCACTCTGAATTTGTCTTTTCTATTCAGTTCATGCAGTGGAGGAGGTGGTGAAGGAGGTGGTGGACCATGCCAAGGAGGCTGGAGAGAAGGGTAAGGCTGATGTTTGAAGATGGGAATGGGGAGGAGGGAAATAAGGCAGGAGAAAAGGAGGGGAGGAGAGGAGGCAGAGCGGTGGGCGTGTAGCTCGGAGGCAGAGCACTTTCCTACCGTGAAGTAGTTGCACCCCCAGCATAGGAACAGTAGAGAAAGAGTGGAGTCAGCAGGCAGGGAGACAGAGAGGGAGGAAGGGAGCCCCAGCGCTACAGCGAATCCTTTTCTTGCTCAACCAGACCCAGCCCTGCCCCAGATGTGGCATCCTCTCAGCTGGGCTGCAATTATCTGCGCATTCTCCCCGGATGCAATTATCTGTGCAGGTTGTACCTTGGGTTAGGGCTTCATCTAGGCTGTTTTCTCTGTGGAGTTTGAAGAAGACAAGGCCACGGAAAGTGATGTGGCAGCACATAGGGACACAACAATTAAATAGACAAGTATGCATCTTAATATGTATTTGTATAAAAATTTACTGTGTATGTGTTACGCCATGAGTAGAACAGCGTACGAAACATCTCATTCCAATCTTTACAACCAAGTAGGGTCCAGATGGTGAAGGATTTACATTTAAATACACAGGTATATTAAACTGTTTAAGCTCAAACAGCTAAAATGAAATGCTGTAAATTCAATGGTTCATAAACAGCAGAAATTTATTGTTTCTATGGCCACACATGGTGGATCATGTCTATGACCCCAGAACTAGGGAGAATGAGGCAGGAAAACTGGGTTTGAGGCTAGCCCGGGTTACATAGTGAGTACCGGCCCAGCCTGAACTATGTAGTGAGACTCTCACTCAAAAAGACCGGAAGAAGGAAAAGAAAAGAAGGAAATGTATTGATAAGCTGGGCAGTGGTGATGCAAGCATTTAACACCATCATGGGATCAAAGGCAGAGGCAGGTGGATCTCTGTAAGTTCATGGCCAGCCTGGTCAACACAGTGAGTTCCAGGACAGCCAGGGCTTCACAGAGAAACCCGTCTGGAAAAATTTAAAATAATAATAATAATAAAAAGGTTGTTCTTGGTGCTGAAGTTTGGAAGCCCCAGGCAGCATTGGGCATCTGGTGAAGCTGGCTCCTGGCCCACGCGACATCTTTCTGCTAAGTCCTTCCTTGGCTGGCTTGCTCTCCTGGGTATTAGCCGTCCTGCCCACGAGGCTCCACCAATCCTGCTAACCTAGCCAGCAGCACAGCCCACCTTTTCATGACGTGATCTAGAGGAGGATTACAACATGGAATTTGGGGGACACAGAAATTCAGATCAAAGAAGTGTCCTGAGAGACTTCAGTATAATCTTGGAGGGGGGAGGCTCTTGAAAACAACCACAAAACAGCACAGTAGTCATAAAGAAAACATTAGGCAAAGCTGTCAATCTGAAACGTCACAGATTTACACAGGAGGGGCCAGGGACGGGGACGTAAAAGGTGAAGCAAAGCGTGATGGGAGTTAAGTCAAAAGGAAGGCTCAGACCTCTGTGATGAATGCTGATGACAGAAACAGTAATCAAATACAGCACTCTCCATAAAAACAGTCAGAGAAGACCAAGAAGCACTATCCAGAAACTGTAAGTAGCCAGTGTACCCGTGAGCTGTCCATGCTGTCTCCCTCAAATGTGAAGAAAGGAAAGTCGTTTGGGAAAATCAAACCAAACTGGGATTCATTATGACACTGGCACTCTTTCCTTCATCCTCCTGGAGCCCCCAGGATTGGCCCCCTAAGATGACCTCACCTCCCGGCCTCTCCTGCTGGAAGCACTAGATCACTTGCTCCTACGATTTTCTTTCTTTTTCCAACAGTCCTTACCGATGCCCTGAAGAAAGCCCAAGAATCAGGGGACAGAGTGGTGAAGGAGGTCACTGAGAAGGTGACCCACACTGTTACGGATGCTGTTACCCACGCTGTAGAAGGCCTGGGTAATCTGGGACAGTGAGACCGACCGCTTGCCACCATGCCCGGCCCTTCCTGAATGTCAATAAAAAGCTTGAAATGTGAATAGAGTCCTGAATTGACTCCTGTTGGATAGAAACCGTAGGCAGAGTGATTTTCCGTTGTTCTTCATTTTGCTTTGGACACAGGTCTTAGGTGCACTTGCTGGGCAGCTGAGGCTGACCTTGAACCCCTGGTCCTTTTGGCTCAACCTCCTGAGTGTGGGATCATAGGCAAATGCCACTAGGACCCAAGAAGCCAAATTTTTTTTTCTTTAAAGGAAACACTGTATATTGTTAGCTACTCCTCTGCCATAGAGGAACATACAACATGGTGGGTACCTGCCACCTCTTGTGGTTTTCATCCAACGAATCAGATGAGGAATTATCATTCCAGCAAGCAGTCCTCGTGTGTGTGTGTGTGTGTGAAGTGTATGTTTTCAGACAGGGTCTCTCACTGGCCTGCGACTAGCCCAGTAGACGAGGCTGGCTGGCCAGCAAGATCTGCCTGCCCCCACTGCTGTAGCACCAGGAATACGAGCACGCATCACCACCATGGCTGTTTTCATGATTTTACTTTAAATGTGGGGTTTGAGGGTGGAGCTCAGGTCCGTGACTGCACAGCGAGCCTTTACCTAGGGAGTTCTCTCCCTTCCTTCTCTTCGCTTCTTTGTCAAGCGAACCTAGGGCTTAACAAGCACATCTGCTCTCTCCCACTGCGCCCCACCCCCAGCTGCAGGTGTGTGCACGTGTGTGTAGACGCTCCAAAGGCCAAGTGCATGCGGGCTGTAGCATTCTTTGGTTTTTCCTTGCAATGGAAGGTTGGGACCAGGGAATGGCCGGGCTGCCTGTCCTGAGACCCAGAAAAGCATTTATACTGGAGGGTATAGAAGTCAGTTACGGAGGAAGAAATCCATGGCTTTTTTCCTGGAAGATCCTGGTAGGCTCCACTTGGAGACACGTGGCCAAGACACAACCAGTGGGTGGCAGTGGGCTTCCTTCCTTCCTCTCATGAGCAATCACTACATTACAGTTCAGATACATGTGTGGGGGACTAGTGGTGGTGGCACACCCCTGTAATTCCAGTACCCAGGAGGTGAGACAGACCAATCCTTAGCTACATAGTGAGTTTAAGGCCAGCCTCGGCTACATGAGACCTTGTCTGTAAATAGTGTGCAAGTAGAGAAGTTTTAGAAGCTTAGAAGTTTTGGAACAGAAGCCAGGTGTGGTGGTACATGCTGTAAATTCCAGCACTTGGGAGGTGGAGGAAGGAGGTTGAATTCAAGGTCGGCTTGGGCTACATGAAACCCCCAAAGTGGACAAAGTGCTTGCTGGACCTGCATTTGAGCCCCCCAGCATCCATGTTAAACACCTAAGTATGGGAGCAGAGATGGGTGGATCCTGGGATCTTGCCTGCCAGCCAGTCAAGCTGAACGAAACAGTGAGCTCCAGGCTTAGTGAGACCCTGCCTCAAAACTCAGTGCGAAGAGTGGTGGAAGACACCCAACATCAGCCTCTGGTCTCCAGGTGTGTATGGGCTAGTGTGCCTGCACACACATGTGCAACACGCATTTATCGCACAAACACACACATACATATTTTTTTGTGAACAAAGAATAAGAGAAATTCTGTGTGAAAGTCTATGATTTTCCCCCCCTTCAAGACAGGGTCTCTCTGTGTAACAGTCCTGGTTGTCCTGGAACTTGTTGTGTAGACCAGGCTGGCCTCAAGCTCAGAGATCCGCCTGCCTCTGCCTCCTGAGTGCTGGGATTAAAGGCGTGCGTGGCAAGGCTTCAAGTTTTCATTTATTTGCTATTTGCTCTTAGCAGAAATGAAGAGAAAAGGTGCTTTGGTGAAAGAATAAATCAGTTTCTTGCCACGTTTTGACTCTTCTGGAAATGTCTCTCAGATTTCTAAAAAGCACAGGCTACTCAAGGGTCAACACTGGCATGTACATTGTCTAGTTAGTGTCGAACTTTTTATCTTGGTTTGGCTCCTGAAGACTTCTGAATTTCCCCATCCAAACCCAAGCTTGTAGAGTTAAGGAGAGTATGAATGGCAGACATGGATTGGAATGATTTCCTTGGGTGTGTAAAGGTGCCAAAGTGGGAGTGTAGATTTACTATAACATGTTCATAGTGGCAAGAACATGAGAGCAAGATGAAAACATCAGAAATCATTGGATACCACTCAGGTGGCAAGTTGTGCTTTTTTGAGGCTTGTCACACAATGTGGAGATGGTACCCATAAAATCTTTTTTTTTTTTTTTCGAGACAGGGTTTCTTCATAGCTTTGGGCCTGTCCTGGAACTAGTTCTTGTAGACCAGGCTGGCCTCAAATTCAGAGATATACCTGCCTTTGCCTCCTGAGTGCTGGGATAAAGGCGTGCACCACCACTGTCTGGCGATACCTATAAATCTACTGAACTTTAAGTTCTTTGGTCTGTAAATGGGATCTGGGCCTGGAAGGCTACCATCTTTGGCTAACAAACAGTGCCTATAGAATGGAAAGGGATTATACATGGCTACTGAGTAGGAAGGGCTGGGGATGTAGCCCAGTGGCAGAGTGCTTACCTCAGATAAGCAAGGTCTGTGCCCAGGCCTTAAAAAACAACTAGAGGAGTATAAATATATCATGTCCAAGTCAGTTAATAAGTTGCAAAACATATTTGTAGAACAAGCTCATTTTTTCATAAGGCAAATGTTATAATTATCTAAGAACAACATAAAAACCTAGACAGCTCATACCTGATAAAATATTAGCAGTGGTCCTCTCTCTGTGGGAATATGAGAAATTCTTACTTTAGCACTGGTGTTTGATTTTAAGAGGAAACTAAGATAGTTGTTTTAAAATTTGGTCATGGAGGGCAATACTAGCTTATTCAAGATTGTTCCCTAGTGATGTGCTTCTCAGAGTTACACTTGGGAAGCGTGAAGAAGCAGCATTCGGAAGCAAAGCACCGTGGCTCTGTGGACATTCAGGGTGGCTCAGTGCGAGCGTTCTGCTTAATAGTCTATGGAGGTCAGCTTGCATTGATGAGGCTGCATGACAACTCTGATGTGAACTAGTCCACATGCATGAGTAAGATAAACAATGAAATTCTTCTGTCTTAGGCCGATGAGATGGCTCAGTGGATAAAATGCTTGCTGAATAATGTTGATGGCTTGAATCCAACCCTGGAACCCATGGAAAAGCACGGGGCTAGGACCAATTCCATGTCCTCTGACCTCTATACACACACATAAACCATGGCACGTGTGTGCCTCTACCCCACAATAACAATAAAATATTTTTAAAAAATTGCCCCACCTCCAATGAGAGCCAAAGTGCTGCCCAAACCTTAAGTCATCTCCTACAGCATTATTTCCATATTTCATTTTCTCCTCAGTGTCCTTGGCAATGAAGAACATGGAGTCAGTGTTATCAAAATAACAGTGGTACCAGAAGAAAATGATGCTAGTCTGAATCTTGGGTCATTCTCTACCCTTCCTGGTCTTACCATGCTCCAGAAAACCAATGGCCTGATCTTACTGAAAACCTACAGTCCTGAAATTCTAGCACAGGGAAGTTTGAATTAGGATTGCCAAAAGTTCAAGGCCAGAGTTGGGCTAGAAGAGTCTCAAAAAGGCTCAACAGCCCGGAAGCCTGATGAGGGATTCCCCTCTGTATGCTGTGACTATGTTTTATCACCATTGGTTAGCAAAGAAGCTGTTCTGGCCTATGACAGGGAAGAATATAGTTAGTATAGCTAGGCAGGAAAACTAAACTGAATGCAGGGAGAAAGGCTGAGTCATCCAGATACCATGTAGCTGCCAAAGGAGGACTCCAGAACTTTACCGGTAAGCCACAGCCTGGTAGTGCTACACAGATTAATAGAGATGGGTTAATTTAAGATATAAGAGCTAGTTAGGAATATGCCTGAGCCATTGGCCAAACAGTGCTGTAAGTAATATAGTTTTTTGTGTGATTATTTGGGTCTGAATGGCCAGGAAATCAAAGCAGTCTCTGTTTACAGAAACCCCCCTGGAAAGACAGAATATTTAGTTGGAATTCTTTCTTTTAAGACTTCATTTATCTAGGCATGATGACACACACCTTAAATTCCAACACTCAGGATGGACAGGCAAGAGGATCATTTTTGAGTTTGTGGTCAGTCTGAGCTATGTAGGGAGACCCTATCTCAAAAAACCAATCGCTGGGGTGTAGTTTAATGGTTGAGCACTTGCTAGCATGTGCTAGGTCCTGGGTTCCATTTAGGGCACCACAGAAAACAGATTCCTCAACTGCAGGGGCTCCTAGTCCTCTGGATCGCCCACTGATAAGCTGCGTTTATTTCTCTTGATGCTAACGTCCATTACATCTTTTTATTGGTGGCAGTTGCCAGAAACACTCAGATGTCATCCTTTAAGTTGGTGGCTGGTAACAGTTTGAGCAAACAACAGGATAAGAAGCTTTTATGGAAAAACGGGGAAGTGTGTGGTTTGCAAGACAGTACATCCCAACTAATTTCTTGGATCTGGAGGCTCCCTGTGCAGGACTGTGCACATTCTTGAAAGTGTCCAAGGTAGGGTGCTGTTCAGAGGCAGAATACTCACCTATTACACACTAGTCACTATTTGCTTTAAAAAAAACTTGCAGCCAGGTGGTGGTGGCACACACCTTTAATCCCAGCACTTGGGAGGCAGAGGCAGGCAGATCTCTGTGAGACTGAGGCCAGCCTGGTCTACAGAGTGAGTTCCACGACAGGCTCCAAAGCTACAGAGAAACCCTGTCTCAAAAAACCAACCAAACAAACAAAAAACAGGTCAGATGTAGTACTCTGGAGCAATAGGCAGGAGGATTGGAATGAGTTCAAGGCTAGCCCCAGCTAATAGCAGGTTTGAGGCTATCCTGTGCTACCTAAGGCCCCGTTTCAAACAAATGAATAAATAAAAAAGTACCAGAAATTATACTAGCATGTTAGTTTTACATAGTATAACCTCTTCCCTGAAAACAGCCATTACAGTTTAATAAAATGAAATGAAAAGTAACCCAAGAATAAAATTTGAGCAGCTATCTAGGCGGTGGT